CTGTTTCTTTATAACATTATGGCAGCCAACGTCCCTCCCTCCGCTGAGACCCTTCTCAGTGGTGCCGCCGCCCACCCCCCCAAGACCGCTGAAGAAATCGCCAACCAATATGACCTCCTCCCCAAGTTGATCCCCTACCTCGATCGCCACTTGGTTTTCCCTCTTCTCGAATTCAGCTCCGGTGGCCAGGATGACGACCGGGAAACCATCCGTGCCAAGTATGAATTGCTCAAGCACACCAACATGACCGACTACGTCGCCAACCTCTGGAAGGAAATCAACGACTCCGACTCCATCCCCGAAGAGTTCATCAAGAAGCGTGAGGAGGTTCTCGCCAAGTTGCAACACTACCAGGACCAGAGCGCCAAGATCACCGAGCTCCTGCAGGATGAGAGCGTCGTGGGCAACCTGCGCAGCGACAAGGTCGCCAACTTGAAGTTCCTCGAGGAGCAGCACGGCGTCACGATCGAGATGGTCAACAGCCTCTACGACTATGGTCGCTTCCAGTACAGCTGCGGTAGCTACGGCAATGCTGCTGAGCTCCTCTACCAGTTCCGTGTCCTGTCCACCGACAACGACAAGGTTGCCTCCGCCACCTGGGGTAAGCTCGCCTCGGAGATTCTGACCACCAGCTGGGAGGGTGCGATGGAGGAGGTTCTGAAGGTCAAGGATTCCATTGAGACTCGTCTCTTCAACAACCCCCTGGGACAACTGCAGAACCGCTCCTGGTTGATCACCTGGTCCCTGTTCCCCTTCTTCAACTACGACCCCGCTCGCGATGTCTTGACCGACCTCTTCTTCTCCCCCGCCTACATCAACACCATCCAGACCAGCTGCCCCTGGATCCTGCGGTACCTCGCTGCCGCCGTCATCACCAACCGCAACCGCGCCCACAAGAGCAACAGCGTCTACCAGAAGCAATTGAAGGATCTGATCCGGGTCGTTCGCCAGGAGGGTTACGAATACTCCGACCCCATCACCGACTTCGTCAAGGCGCTGTATGTTGATTTCGACTTCGAGGAGGCCCAGAAGAAGCTGGGTGAGGCCGAGGATGTGTTGCGGAGCGACTTCTTCCTCGTTTCTGCTGCCGATGCTTTCGTCGAGGCCGCCCGTCACCTCATCTCCGAGAGCTACTGCAAGATCCACCAGCGCATTGATATCAAGTACGTGCTTTGAGAGAGCGGATCTATGAAGTGATGTGACTAATCCGGACTGTAGGGACCTGTCTACCCGTTTGGGTCTCAACCAGGACGATGGTGAGAAGTGGATCGTCAACTTGATCCGCGACACCAGAGTCGATGCCAAGATCGACTACAAGGAGGGCACTGTGATCATGAACCATCCCCCTCAGTCGGTGTACCAGCAGGTTATTGAGAAGACCAAGGGTGCCTTCTTCCGGACACAAGTTCTGAGGTGAGTCCAATCCGAGGGAAACCTTCGAAATAAATAGTCTAATGCATAACACAGCGCGGCCGTTGCGAAATAAATGACAACCCTTCTTTGAAGTTTTCTCTGAAACAAGAATTTCGTCCTTTTACCCTTCTCTTAATGGTTCTTCATGTTAGTAGTATTTCCCGCCGAAGTGCGGCGGGCTTCCTGAAATGAGGGAACCAAGCAGAGTGGCATCAGGCTGGCGTTCAGGTGGTCCACTTTTTCATGTCTTTCTTCTTTTTTTTCTTTTTGCTTATGTCTCTCTTCCCCATGAACCTGTCTATTTCCCCCCCCTATGTATCTCTTTGTCGACATGCTTCCAGGTGAGCCTTTTTTTTTGGTGTGACGATCCACGCCCGACTTGGAAGAAAAGCAAAAAAAAAACTAAAAGAAGTACTGTCGAAGTTTCCACCGGGACAACTTTTTATCTTCTGTAAAGGATTGGCAATTCAGGGGTGATCAAAGAAGCGACAGATGGGCTGCACAGCTGACTGGTATACTTTACCAGTCGCTCCTAAGCTTCTGTCTCCGGTCATGATTGAATCTCTTGAATGTCAGGGGAACAAAACCACTCTTGCCTCTTGTCGTGTGATTGGTCGGTCTATGCAGTTACGAATGATCTATAGAGATGATGGAATTGAATGTTGAATCTAGATCTATTTCTTTTTGCCATCCCACTTTTGTTTTTTCTGGCAAACAGATAAAGCTCTACCAAAGGCAACTATCACAACCCAATATCCACACCTGAACCTAGAGATCAATACTAATTCACCCGCCTCCGACTCGCTCCCGCCTCCCTCATGCGCCGTCTCCCACCCATCTCACCATGACCATGACTATTAGTATAACCGGCCCCCCTCAGCCACACAATCTCATTGATATACGGCTCTTCCCCTTCTTGGTTCCCCAAACATCGAGCCGTCGGACTCACCCTGCTGCTGCTGCTGCTAAAGCTAGAGCTATAGCTATAGCTCCCACCGGTACTATCACCAGCCATGCGCAGAGATTCCTGCCGTTCGTATTCCCGAGACATAGCTGCTAGATCGACGATCTGGTCCTATAATGTTTTTACCAGGGGAGGGGTTATGATGGGTTTCCGAGAATTGTGGTGCAGGTGCAGGATGGGTATTGCTTTCCAAGTAAGAGGAGACGTACATACCCTCGTCAATGGTACGCCGGTGATGAGGTAGCCGTCTCGGCCCTGCGCGGGGTATCTGTGGTCAGTGGATGTAGTTGATTAGTGGGATTTGGGGGCTTGGTGGCTTGGTGGCTTGGTGGCTTGTGGATCGTCACCCTGGGTATGGATTTGAGTTGGGGGGGTGTGTGGGCCTGGGGATAGTTTTACTGGGGAAAGGGGGGCTTATAGATGCTGCGTGTATATGTATATATATGGTTGGAAAGAAAGTGGAGTGTTGCTGGGCGAAAGCAAGGTTAGCATACCTGATAGGAATACGGCCGCGCCGTTGCCGCTGGACCCAGGAAGTACTGGATCTGGCCGAGGATGACGGCGCGGGAGAGACCGTATCCGGGGAGCCAGTATTGCTGGATTTCTTGGGGTAGCATTGTTGATTTTGGGGATTTGTGCGTGTGGTCTGTGGGGAGTGTAGTTCGTAGCAGTTTATACGTATACTGATATACTGAATATGGGGGTTTTGGTGAGAGAGGTATATAGGGCTTGTATATTGTGAAAGACGAATGAACCTCGGAAAGTATTGTATGATCTCAACAATGAGGGGAGTACCCCCTTTTGTTGTATATTTATAGGCAGGTTCCAAATCCTAGAACATGCAAGGGAAGCATTGGTTGTTGCTTAGCTGGTTTGTGGCTAGCCTTGTCATGCAAAGGTCTATGTGGGTGCTTCGCTTTGCGTTACCCTACGTATATATATACATTACCTATGGAGCGATGTCTTCTATCACAGATCGGGTTAATTATACAACGGATATAGGTATCGATTCCCGAGAGTGAGATTTGCCATGCCTGTGTCTCCCTCTAAGACCCCAAGCCCGATATATATGTGAAGTATATCAACAAAGAGATCGAGAGATCGAGGCATTGAGAGAAAGAGAGGAGAAAAGACAGCCCTACAATCACTGCTGAAATGCAGTTCCGCAACGAACAGAGAAAAAAAAAAAAAGCAAGCGCGCCTCACTCTTTCCCATCCAACCACCACCGTATCCCTCTACACCGTTTCTTCTGAACAGCAGACAAAAAAAAGTGAGGCTTGTCTGTCAGAGAAAACAATAGAAGCAGGCGAACTCGGCCTCACAAATCATAAGCTTATGCGTGGTGGAATAGTTTCGATTCTCTGGGTACTGTACTGTGTCGCTTGTTTGACTTTTCGTGTCGCTGCAGCGCCAAAACTATGCATGAAGTTCTGATGTGGCTGCTACAGGACAGTATGCATGTACTGTACGTGGGAATATGTGCTTTGGGGTCTGGTGCCGTGGCTCCAAGAATGTGAAGCTGCTTCAAGTGGATTGTGGCATGGTGTAGGACTTGATTGGTAAGGGGACTGATGGACTGGGCCAGGCGCTCTTGATCCCTGTGGGGTTTACTATAGAGGTCTCAATAGTGATTGCATCTTTTGATGATGTGGCCTCAGGGTCTGGATTACTCCATCTCTTTCATGCGGCGAGTCAAGCAGGCGGTCTCTGGCAATCGAACGGTTTACTGCTTCACGGCTATTTCAGACCCCAGTCATTCAGTGATCGAGCCAGCCATGAGCTTTTCCATTGCTCCTGATTGCAGGGGTCTTGCAAGACGAATCAAGTTCGGTTGTAAGAGACTCTCAGCAAACAAGCTCATATTTAAGCGAAATGACAAGGGCCATGGCCTAGGACTCCTCAGACGTTAGGCTGCTCGTCAATACTGCAAGGATTTCGTGGTCGAAGCGAAGGAAATGAACATTATCGAAGAGTATAGATGGAGCTGCAGGCAGAAGGTGAAGTCATAGTACAGAGATCCAAATCAACATGCCGATGCGGAAGACAAACCCCTTGAGCTAATACATCAAACCAGATTCCCCAGCTCAAGAGGGTAAAATTAATATTCAGAATCACCAAAACGCTTCTTGCATTACTGTCTATGATCTTTTCGTGACTCATCCAGACAAAAGGCATACTTGCAACAAAATATCATGCAAAGAATCGTCCCGCATCCGTTAGTTGCCCTCCGGGGGAACATATGGGTTTACAAGCATGTCGCTAAACCTGTTTCATGAGTTAGCACCGACTTTCAGTGTGTCTGAGCTACTTGGACACTGTTGGGTCATCACATACTTCTCAAGCTTCTCCTTGCCTCTTACTTCCTCAACCAACAAAGGCATCCGGACAACGTTGAAGTCCTCGTAGAGTTCCTCGATCTGCTCAAGGTACTTCTTCTGCATCTTTCGGCGTGCATTACACTGTTCGCACGCGCTGCTCTGCTTAGGGAATAACAGTTGGTTGACGACGATAGCATGGGTGTCAATGTTGTAGCTGGTCAACTCCTGAATCATGCGCTCGGTTTCGTACAGCGACAGGAACTCAGCGATGCAGACGCAGACGAAGGTGGTAAGGTCGGCATCCTTGAACTGGGAGTTCACCTCGCTGATCGTCTCCCGGAGAGACTCCATCTTCTGCAACAGTTCGTCGAGGTTCTGACCGCCGGGCAAACCTCCACGGGCGCCCAGAATAGAGTTGAGCATGGGGCCGAACTGGGAGGACAGCTGCGACAGCTTCGCGAGAGCCTTCTCGAGGACGGTAGGGAATTGGAGGAAGCGGAGAGTGTGGCCGGTGGGCGCAGTGTCGAAAACGATCACCTCGTAAGACAGGGACTTGACTTGCTTCAAGACCTCAGCGAAGGACATGGCTTCGTCAACACCGGGAATCTAGTGAACCAATCATTAGCCATGAAAGCTCGTGATGCATGCGCGCAAACGCCGTGGAGCGTGAAGCGTACGCTGAAAGCCAGATCCTGCATCATGCCGCCCACACCCATCCCGGATAATGGGTCATCTCCCTGGCCTTCACCACTAGCCAAAAGGTCCTGGATACTGCCATTGGGGTCGATCTCCATGGCGCTCAAGTTGGTATAGCCATCGACCAGTCGAGCCTCCTTTCCAAACTTCTGTCCAAAGGCATCGCTCAGGTTGTGCGCGGGGTCGGTGGAGATAAGCAGAACAGACTTGCGGACTTTGGCCAGCTGAATCGCAAGCGAGCAGGAGGTCGTAGTCTTGCCGACACCTCCCTTACCACCGACGAAGATCCAGCGCAAGGTTTTCTGGTTGACGACCGACTGGAGCGTGGGCTCCATGAGGTCGTCGCTATGCACGACAGCGGAGGACATGGTAGAGGTCGAAAAAGAAAAGGATTGAGATTATGGTTTTGGTCGTGTATCTGGTCTGAGAACAGAGAAAAAAAGAAAGGAGTAAGCTTTAGCGCTTTACCGACTTGCAGTGTTGATTTGGAGCTTGGACTTACCACGTAACTGACGGGTTCCCCGCAGAGTCCTGAAACCTTCGGATAAGGCGGTCGGTGGGATTCGAGAAGTTTCGTAAGAAGAGCTGCGTCACTCCACGCTAGAAGTTGAGGGAAGTAATTGATAGGCAAGGTATTTTCTATACAGCAACAATAATGGAGAGTCGTACAGCGCAAGAGACAATAGGCGGCTCTTGCCTCAACTCTCTTTAGCAAGTTGCTCAAGCGGCACGTGCCACGTGCTACGTGCTAGAGCCATCATGGGTCATTTTACCTTACCTTCTGCCTCAGGCGCCGCAACCACCCCGCGCAGTGCGTACTGTGTAGTTAGTCTATATAGAGTTATCGCTCCCTATCGCTTCGAATCACCCTCCGCGCGACATGCAGCCCATCCCCGACACCTTCCGCAGAATGACACACCCCCTGAATGCGTCGGATATCGGGTCCCTCTGTAACGGCTAGGAGCAAGTTGGTCTTGGAAAACTCTCTTTTAAGTACAGTCCGACCTAAACCGGTCGTGCGATCGATTCCATGCAGTGGCCCCATATTGCCTGGAATACCTTCAACACCCGTCAGTGATGCGACTGTGATGATGATACGATCTGCACCGCTTGTACAAAAGGATAACTGCTCCTTATTTGTCTTCTCTTGGACCTTCTTTAGTGGCACATGAAGGCCATCATTCATACCCATGCTATCAGGCTGTGGAAATATGACAGATGGCAATAAAGCTGAGGTTCAACCTGCATAGATGTCTGGTAGCCTTACAGATGAATAATAATGTGATTCCAAGTGTAGTTAGTGCTTGTGCTGGCAAGCACGGAGCACCTTATTACCACAACACCCTCCGCATGAAATGAGGCTCTACATGCCGTGGACCACAAATTATATTGCTACAAACTAAGCCCTCTATCATCGTACTCATGGTTCAGCCAAAAGCAGAGAGGTCATGAAGTCATATAGACTGCCGGTCTAATTCTATCTCGCGATACCTGTATCTGTACTTGTACAGTACTTCCAACTCAGCACGTCTGGAAGTGACGGTGTAGCTTGGAGATCGGTTGATAACATCCGACTGCATCATGATCTACATAAGTACTTCATTCCAAGGCCAAATGGCAGAAGGATGCTTTTGCCTCAGCTGATAGCTTCAAAGGAAATCGCGAATCAACAGTACTCAGTACAATCGTTGAATGATAGACCAGCCATGATACCTTCCTATAGGCGGATTGCAAGATCCGGTGCTAGAGTCATTGCTAATACCCCCACCAGCGAAATCCAATACAACAACTGGCTGCATCTTTGAACATCGTCTGACTTGGATCCACGCGTTTGCCCCCCAACAATCAATCTATGGAAAACAATCCGCGTCGACTACTCCGTAGCGTTGAGGCCTTTTCATTTTGACACGGAATGCCTTATGACTTATAGACGAGTCTACCATACAATGCATGTGTGTACTCGGCATAAAACGCGCCACGGATCTATCATGCATCTTGGGCTGTCCAGCCTTGCTAGCTCATTTCTCCTTTGCATAGAATGCAGTTGCGTGCCTGTGCTCCGTTTTGGGGGGACGCTAAGGGGAATAAGCCTCCCGCACCTGGAGACCCGGCTCGGGGTTGACTTGGGGGGAGGTGCCTGGAAAAGTCTAGAGTGGACGCAACAAGTATGATTCTGAGCATGAACGGCCAGAAAATATTCACAGCAAGAACTTGGAAAGCGATCGTCTTATCGACTATCATCTATCGACTATCATTTATCGACTATCGACTATCGATAGGTGCGTTCTGGCCGGCCTGTAGGCCTGTTGGGGCTCCATGTGGAGAGACACAATGAACTCCAAACTTACTCCTCCTCCCAAGAATCCTCGGCATGGAAGGCTCATACCATCTGGCCGAGTCCAATCACCCACTGATCCAGAGATTGGGGTGGCAATCCAATAAAGACTTCTTACCGAACCGGTTTCGATGCCAATGAGATACCGCGACAATTGTATCACGTGATTGACATCCACGGGACGAACGTTCCGGAGCATTGCGTCATCGAGGACGATCCAATCATGGAGGGAATGTGTCACTCAACGTTCCGAAGAAGATTCCCCCTGAAACCAGCAGAACAGGTTAAGTTGAAATTGGAGCCGGAGATGGAAGGGGAGAGGACGGGGAGGGGTGTGAAAGCCTAGAGGATAACCTGCTTGAGCCAATCCTGAGCCCTGGGAAGAGGGCCGTTAGTGAGCCATCCATCCATTCATCCATTCATGCCGGCGATTCATGTCACCCTCGACTGCAGTCTCGACCACTGAGTCGACGCAGATCCTGACCGCCCTGCAGCCGGACAAACATAGCGTCCGATTGATGATTCGTTCGACTGGGCGGGGGCTCACAAACGGGCCCGTGAGTGGCTGAACTAAGGGAGCCAAGTGGGGCGGACTTTAGTTAAACATCGAAGGAAAAATTCCTGTCGTCGTCACCGTGATCTCATCCATTGCTGCCAAATCAACCACCCCCCTTCTTCTGCTGCTGGTGCTGTTGTTGCTGCTTCTGCTTCTGCTTCTGCTTCTGCCACAGTCACTGCAGCCAAGTCAGTCATCATCAGTTCTGACCTGCTTGTTGCACCTCGTAGTACGGAACTAGAAAATTAGAGTATGTAGAAAGTGGTTGTTGCACTTCTTGTCCCTCCCCCAGCCTATTTTCTACCCCTGGATAGCGAAGCAACATTCTTGTAAACCGAGGCCGAAACAGCGAGAAAGTGTAGAAAAAGACCTTGTCCTCGGTTGTTAAACTCGCCAGTCTTTCCGCCGTCATTTTCAACGATCACTTTCCACCCGGATTCCGCTCGTCACATTGGTTGAAAAGTGTTCCCGAGAGCCCACCATCTCCAAGACCCAAGTTCTTCTGTCCAAGTAAGGGCCAGCCAGCATTCGCCTGCATAATCATCCAGCCAATTTTTTCTTTCTTTCTTTTTTCTTTTTTCTTTTTTTTGGGGGGGGG